GTACGTGATCCCACCCGCCCATGGTGAGATGGGATCCTGCATGAGTCCAGTGTATCTGAGATCAGACACATCATGGGGCAGGCAGGGATGTGGAAGAACTTGTTCCCGGTCATTCCTAAGGTCACAAGCTGGTGTTTACAACTGGCCCAAACCTACCAGCAGCAGCAGAATTCAGACCCTGAGGCCCAACAGTCTGTGCTGGGATCAGATCTGCTCCTTGCTCTCCTGCCCCCTCAACTCCCAGGGTGTGGAGGGAGATCAGGGATGGAAAGAGGTTTCCTTGGTGCTGGCCTCCAGCCCTTTGACTCCCCTTTGCTCTCCCCCTGCAGGTACTGTGGGGAGCGCTCCCAGTTTGTGGTGGCCAGTACCACCAACAAAATCGAGATTCGGTTCCACTCGGACCAGTCCTACACAGACACAGGCTTCTCTGCAGAGTTCCTGTCCTATGACTCCAGTGATCGTGAGTTGAAACCCTGGGGCTGGGGTGGGCAAAGTGATTTCCCTGAGATTTGGAACAGTCCCTCCTCTGTGCTTACACTGCCCTGTAAACTGGGAAGCAACCTTTTCCAGGGGGATAGCAGTGTCCTTTGCTTTCCTGCAAACTGCCTGGTCTTCCTGCTGTGTTCTGCTGTAAGCAGGCATAGGGAACTCGGCAGAAGGAATGTAGAGGGGACACCAAGAGGACTCATGTGTGTTTTGTCCCTTTCCCCCTCTCAGCCTGCCCTGGCAAGTTCACTTGCAATACCGGCCGCTGCATTGACAGGAGCATGCGCTGCGACGGGTGGCTGGACTGCGTGGACGGCAGTGATGAGAGGTCCTGCAGTAAGTCCAGCCTTGGTTTCCCTTTGACACAGCATGGGAAAGGCCATGCTACCCAGGAGTCTGGGTAATGTGACTCAGTGCTGGCTGGAACCAGCACTGCCACCTTCCTCCAGGCTGGAGTGAGACTCAGTGCGAGATTTGGATCCCTTCTCAGCGTTAAGAGCTATGTGCTCCTGCTAATCCAGCCCTCTCCCAATAGCATTGCCCTCTCTTTCCAGTTCCTTCCATCGGGGAATGTGTTTTTCTGTGTAATCCTGCTGGTTTTAGGTTTGGCTGAGCTGAGTGGTGTGGAGGGGCACCTTTCAT